ATATTTTAAATATCCCTTCACGTCACATAAGCAAAAGACACATTGATATGAAATCTTACATGTGTATAATTGAGGACAAATAAATGTATAATTTTTTAGACTAATAAAATTAATACTGGAAATTAAAAATGCAATAAGGTAAATTTATTTACCTTAATAGGATATTCAAATCCTACCAGTGTAAATTTTATTACTACTCAAAAAATTGATATAATGTCTCGTGATCATTCGAAGCCAATCATAGAAAAGGAATCCAGCATGGAAGGCATTTAATGCAAAATCGTAAAATGACCTAAAGCATGGGATACACAGTCAAGTTGATATCTATAAAGGAGAACTACAGCAGCTAGGCAGATAGAGACAAAGAAGTTATCGGCTCCAAAGAAGAAGACGAACAACAAGTTGTTATCTTCTCAAACAAAGAATCAACGAACATGATTAAATCATCTCAACCAACGGATGATATTAATCTACCGGAGACGCCTATAAATAAAGGCCGAAGCATGAGTTCGAAAATAAGTTCTTGAGTTCAAAAGAAGAGAAATCCTATAAGCATTCAAAGGATATCTAGCAAAAGAGAAAGTGCTTGATCATAACTTCACTCTCTGCTTTGACTCATGCTTCACTAAGCTCTTAGACTAGATCATCATTTTCATATTTTCAGAGCTTAGTTTTTAGTTGGAGATCAGAATTTTCTTGTAGTTTACAAGGTGTTGTAAAACACTCAGGAGGACAGTTGTTCCCGACCTGAAGTGTGGTTAGATAGGTCAGGAGTACCTTTTGATCCCCACTGGATCAATTGAGAAAAACCTAAAGGATTGAGTAGCTTGGAGTGGTGTTGTACTCCTCGTAAAACACCTTCAATCTAGGCCAGAGTTGTCAAGGCTAGATTGGCACTAAGTGTATTGGGCTTAATACATTAGTGAAATCCATCTGAAATAGGGTGGGACTGGATGTAGGAGGATTACACCACCTCTGAACCAGGATATAGTGTGTGTTGATTTATTTTCAGTCAACAAAGCACGCACCCAACACTTCTCACTAAAGGGATCGTGGTTTGCCAGCAGCATCCTAAGCAGTAGTCTTAATTGACTCTACTGCTTATCTTACTGCTTAATAACTTACTTTTCCTAAGACAACAGTTTCACAAGAGCCTTGGAACATCACTACTAAAAGGTCCGTTTTGCCAGTTTTCAGAAATACTTCTTTCATACGCAACATGTGGCTTAGCAGTTTCCTGGGTCTACCCAACTGCTTAGACCTCTGCTTATGCAAAACCCCTTATCATCTCCAGCTCAGTACATATTCAGAAAGCACTCATCATTCTATATAAGGCCATACAATCATCTCTAGCAAACTCCTATTTTCCACTGGCAGTTGCCTCAGCAGTCCCCTGCCATCCAGGCAACTGCCAAGCCAACTGCTCACTGTTTAAAGTCCAAACATCATTCAAGCTAGAAAGTTGTCACACACTAATCATCAAGAGGTTAAAGACTTCCGTTGTGCATCTATAAATCTCCCAAAAGATTATATATCAACTCATCTAGAAGGGAAAAGTTTTTAAAAGTTGAAAAAGCTTTAAAAGTCTACTCACCCCCTATAGACTTTTACCTCTATCCGGGACCATCAGTTTAGTTAATGAAAGGAATCATACTAACGTTATCATTGAATGTGATAACTCTCGGGTAATTCAGACTTTGAAGAGAAAGGCACGACCAAGGTGGAAAGCGAATTCAAATTTAGAAGCTTTTAAAGAAAAGTTTCAAGATCTCAATCTCCGTTTTAATTGTATTCAAAAACCCTGTAATAGAGCTGCTAGATTCACATCAAAGTACTTTCACTTGTTTGGTTGTAGCCTGAACATTTATAGCAAGTTCGTCGGCATTGTCAAGTTTGATGCAATTAGTTATCCGTACGTTGCAAATTCGGGTATGTTCTGGCTCTAGTCCCCCTACCATGTATTTCTTCTTTTATTAAAAAAAGTAGTGAACTTCAGCTTTTCAACATGTTTAGCGGATTCTGCATGTTATCATAATAAATCTAATATCAAGCATTAACTTTCTAGTACCATGGAATTAAAATTCTTGTGTGTTGTACGTTCACGATTTGGGTTAAACTCGTGAAGGGAAAGTGCCTAGCACGTCTTCGTGGTTAGGATTATATTTCGACGATTACTTCATGGATATTAGCCACTGGTTTTGAGAAGGCAGGAACAGAGAGAAGATACCGAGCAGTCCAGCGCAGGTAGCAATAGCAGTTGGTGCAGAGATTCAGGGGAGTCGAACGCTGGCCATTATGTCATCCAACGCGAAAGTTTAGCGTGAGAGATGCCTTTAGGTGCAGGACGACGGAAATATAACGATCAACAATTTGGAAGGGACAAACTGGAAGAAGAAGAAGAAGGGTTGATGGCTCATTCCCCTCCTGAACCACCGTCAAGAGATGAACGAGATGCCAGGGTTTGCGCATCTGCACTGTTTTAAATTCTTAGTTGGGTTTTCAATATCCTGTTTTGTTAGTTTTCATAAGTACTTGTTTCTGATTCATAATACTACTTGTAATAATGTTTTGGGTTGGAGGGGAGTTAGCTGTGGTGTTAGGGTGTCTATCACCCCGGTCAGAAGCGTTGTGGCTCCAAAAGCTGTATTTATCTTCAAAGCTCTCACATGGTCTGTGATTTGGTATCCTCATCTGAGGGAGACTAATTCTATGTATGATCATAGAGCGAGAGGATCTTCTGATTTTGAATCTAGTGGGTTTGGGTTTTAAGTCTGATGTACTATTTTGGTTGCAGTTTATTTTAATATAAACAAGTTTCCTTTAAAAAAACATTAACTTTCTAGTATTAACTATTAAGAATCAGAGAAATGGTCAAGTAAGATCTTCTACTATTTCTAATTCGGTGCCAAACTACTATGATTCAATTCAGTTTTTTGAGTTTGATTATCTTATAGTTCAGTTTATTTTACTTACGGTTCGAGTTTTGGCGATTCATTTTTCGATTTTTGGTTTCACCGATCCACCCCCAAACAAATTTTTACATTTACACTTTAGACTTAAGACATTGCTACACTTCCCGTCTTTTATGACATTATTACTACTTTAGACATTGCTACATTCAGAAATTTTCTAACTTTACACTCCACCGCTTTACTGTTTTGATTTCTCTTTTTAATTTGTATCTCTAAATTTGACTTGTACAATACAATACTCTGTATAAAACTTTTCAAGGATAGAAAGCGGGCGACCTAGCTACGTCTAGGGTTAGGTTGGTGAACGACGACTGGATCTTCTCTGGTGGCGGGCGGTTCAGACGGCTTCGGGCGGCAGGAGAACATCGCAGGAGGTAGATTTCTGAGACAAGATTGATCCAAGGTCTGCTTACGATTCCATTTTCTGGCGGCGGGTGGCAGGTCGATCCAGGGTCATCAGCGATCCGTTGACAGGGTTAGCTCGTGGTTCGGCGGGAGGGGATTGAAGTCGTGCTCCTAGCAGCGAAGGTAATTTGGGGATTGAGGTAACTTGGTGTGATTTAGTTCTGCTGGTTGTTAACGATTTGCTATAATCATGGGAGCGGTTCGTTAGAATGGTAGGGGTTTGGGTAATTTAGCAACAATGTTGAGGCTTGATTTTCCGATACTTGATTTGGCAATTGTGGTGTTATTGGTGACTGCGATGGAAGCTGTACCAACAGTTTTTTATTCATGATGAACATTGGCGATTTGGGGCGTGGTGAAAGGGGCGACTTAGTGGGTGGCAATTTGGGGTTGTTTGGCGGCTATGAAGGGTCGAGATCATCTAGCCATGGATAGTTTGATGAGGTGGCATGGAGAATTCCCGATACAAGTGATGAAAGAAGAGCATGGAGTGTTGTTGATTCGTCCCCCTCCTGAACCGCTGCCACAGGGGAACTGTGTGATTAGGGTTTCGAAGAAGATGCTTGAAGGATGGATTCAACTGGTCCATCACTCGAAGATTATTTACTTGTGTTATTTTCTGCTTTCTAATCCTTATTTTGTTATTATTTTGTTAAGCAGCGCTAGGCGCGTTGTTTGGTTTATTTTGGTTGATAGGTTTCTGTTTGGAGGCAATCAGACTGACTCAGCCGCTAATAGCCTTGAATCTCTCACATGTTCAGCGATTAGTCTCGCTCTTTTTGGGGTGAACTACTCTATGCCTGATCAAGGCGTGAGGGGCTCGGTTGGCTTATGGTTAATGTTGGATTGTTGGTTAGAAGGAGGTTAGGGCTTTTTGGTTGTTGCTCGATTGTATTGTTTTTCTTGGTTATACGCCGAGAGTATTGATTTATATAATATGTTAGTTTTCCTTTCAAAGCAAAAATATAATACTCAGTATGAGCGTTCTTTGTTTACACGCTAAGGCATGTAGACATCACTTTTTACGCATCATATAAACGACTACCAAAATTTTCTATCATTTTAGCATCATATAAGTGGATTTTCCATATAATATACTTTTAATTGCAACATTCAACATTTCACGTTTGCCAACGCACAAGTTTGACCATTAATATCTTTCATTCCCTATTAGTAAAAAATTTAAAAAATTCATATTTTGAAAATTTAGAATGAGAAGAATTTAACAATATTTTTTAAAAATTTAATTTATAATACATTAATTAATTTAGAATATGCAAAAATTCTAATGTTGCAATTAAAAGAGAACGGAGATACTACTTTTTCCGCCTCTTATACTTTTATTATTTATTTTTGTTCAAATTTTTTTGTCACTTTTCACATTAACTAATTAGTTTGTAATTTCAGTCAAACCTGACAATATTATAGAAAAGAAAAACAATATTACTAACAATGGAAGCACATTTTCAGTACAACAATTCTTACGGTAAATAATGACTTGCTGAGAGACAAAAAAGAGTGTGTAGAAAGGTAAAAATGTGTGAAAAAGTATTTTTTGTACATGTAACAATAAATGAATTAAATGTAGACGGGGTCTTGGTCCAGTCAGTCAGTATGTATGAAGCAGAGCGCGTCTGAGATGACGTTACAACACGGACCGGGTCCCTATATAACTCTAGCTCCTCCTGTGAACACGATTCCGCTCTCCCTATTCAAGTCTTTTTTTGACCAGCATTTTCTTCTCTTCTTCCTCTTGTCTGCTCCCACCCCAATCAGTGCCTGAACAAATACGGGCTATTTAAAGTCCAGTTGATTGACTGGTTCTCCATTTCCTGTCTCTAATAATTTGCGTATGATGATCTGATTTTTGTTCATATTTGGAGACAAAATGGGTCTCTGCTTTTCAAGCTCAAAAGTCATTGGCTCCAGCAGCATCAGCGCATCCAACGCCGCCGGTAAGCCTCCCGTAAATCCGCCGTCCGAAGCCACTGTCACAACAAGAGACGAAGAGAAGTCGCGTGGTTTTCGAAGGAAAGCTAAAGCTACATGTGACAAAGGGCATGAACATCAAACTGGTGCTATTCCATGTGGGAAAAGAACCGATTTTGGGTACGACAAGGATTTTGATCAGCGGTATACTATTGGCAAGTTGTTGGGCCATGGTCAATTTGGTTACACATATGTTGCCACAGATAAATCTGCTGGAGATCGCGTTGCTGTTAAAAGAATAGAGAAGAAGAAGGTCGGCGCTATTTATTTTACTTTAATATTCTTCTTCTTTTTCCAACTTACTACTCGTGGGGAAGAACTTGGCGGGTTTATGGTCTGCAGTGGAACCCATAAATTCTGAATGTCACTTGAGATCAAGTTTCAAGTTTAGTCCCTCGATCATTTTTATATTCATATGTCACCATAAGAGAACTGCATTACCTGGATGTTGGTGGATGGCCACTATTAAAAAGACCCTAACCCATTATCAGACTGAAAAGTTACTTCTAGTAATTGTTATGCAGATATGAATTTAAGATTGTGAAGCCTATTATGTAATTGAAATTGCATTGGGAGGTAATTGCAGCTATGCACTCATGGTTTCTTGTATGCCATCATTTGCAGATTATGAATAATCACTGTTACGTTTTAGGTTGACTGCATCACCAGTTGCAGCTATGCACTCATGGTTTCACATCACTATGAACATTCACCGGTTCTTTTAGAATGTTTTTTTTTACCCAAACCTGTGAAATCATGAAATAATGCTTGATATGCTTGCAACTCTCTATGAGTAAGCTGTGTGATCAGTTACATTGCAGTTGAAGTTTGGACTTCTTACTATTTTGATCACAATAACATATGTGGATTTATCAACAGATGGTTCTCCCCATGGCAGTTGAAGATGTGAAGCGGGAGGTGAAAATATTGAAGGCCTTAACTGGTCATGAGAATGTGGTTCAATTTCACAATGCATTTGAGGATGAGAATTATGTATATATTGTAATGGAGTAAGTTTATATCCATGTGTGTCCATTTGTAATAAATTCCAGCCGCCTTCCTTATTTTTAGTGGAAAACATTTCGCTTATGCTCAGACCTTCTTTCTTAATTTTTTTATAAAGGTTATGTGAAGGTGGAGAGTTACTGGATCGTATTTTGGCCAAGTAAGTGTGCTTAACTTTTTGCATGTGGGATGTATTTATAGGTTTCAATATGCACTCTTTGATTCTCGATTCATAAGCATAGTTGTATAGGATTTATAAATAGTTTTGTTTACGCAGGAAAGATAGCCGTTATACTGAAAAAGATGCAGCTATAGTTGTACGGCAGATGCTAAAAGTTGCAGCAGAATGCCATTTACATGGCTTAGTTCATCGTGATATGAAACCAGAGGTATGGACATCAGTAAAAGGAAGATGCTTGATTCATAACAAAAATGTACCTGTTAGAATCCCGTATAAAAAGTAGAGAGAACAATGACCCTGTGTTGAATTAGCTAGTAGATTATATTCAAACTTTTGGTGTGATGTTGCTCAAGTGCCTAATGCTCCAGTTGAGTGACCACTACAGCACTACCTAAACCTAAGTTCTATCAGTAGAACTTCACGGTGGAAAATTAGAGAGAACAGTGAGTTAATAAGAACATGGGTTGATTTAGCTAATAGATTGGATTCAATCTTTTAGTTTGGTTTGACCCAAGTAACCTATGATCCAGTTGAGTAACCCGAGCCCTTTCCAAATTTCTATCTGTATTAAAAATGTTGGGTATGTTTTCATTAACTGATATGAAAGGAGCCCTTCATGAATTGGCTAATAGCAACATACCATGCCAAATTTTGGTTAAAATTTTAGTCAATGTAGCTGGTATATATGCTGTCCTCTTACCTTTTTTATTTTCTATCTATCTTTCCCCCCTTCAGAATTTTCTTTTCAGATCACCAAAGGAAGATTCTGCATTGAAGGCCACTGATTTTGGTCTTTCTGATTTCATACGGCCAGGTCATTAAATATAGGGCTATATATATTTGCGAAAATTAAATCTAGTATTAATTACTAAGCATCTTCAATTCGTCATAATGCAGGAAAAAAATTTCATGATATTGTTGGTAGTGCATATTATGTCGCTCCAGAGGTACTTAAACGCAGATCAGGCCCTGAATCAGATGTTTGGAGCATTGGTGTTATAACCTATATTTTGCTCTGTGGTAGGCGGCCCTTCTGGGATAAAACTGAAGATGGGATATTCAAGGAGGTCGGTTTCTGACCTTTTCACTGTGGTTTCTACAATCATAAACTTTTCAATTATTTCTTCTTTTAGTAGGTCTTCAATCATCAACTGGACATGATTTTGCTTTATAATTCCTGTTTCATAATGCACCTGAAGTGCATGTGGTGGATAAGTAATTATCTACACACTTTCCTTTTTCGTCTGACTCAAAATTATTGTCCATTGCAATATGTGACACAATATTTCTCTCTTATATGTGTGTGCCACACAATTTTTCACTTTTTAAATTTGGTGTCGGTCAAGTTGAGAACAATTTTTGGACAAACGGAGTAAAAGATAAGTTTTTGTTTGAAACATGTATATTGTCTTTATGTTATTTATTGAATAGTAATTGTAATGCATGCACATGCCTTTTATTAAACCATGCCTTATAAACCCTAGGATTATGTTTTAGGAGTTTTAAACATGTATATTGCCCCCGTTCCATTTTATGAATCGTATGTTAATGAATGTGCATGCCATTTATTAAATCATGCCATGTGAACCCTACAGTTAAAATTTCTAACGCTTATGTGTGTATGTAGGTGCTACGAAACAAACCTGATTTCCGTCGCAAGCCATGGCCAAACATAAGCAGTAGTGCTAAAGATTTTGTTAAGAAATTATTGGTGAAGGATCCTCGTGCCAGACTTACTGCTGCCCAGGCCCTATGTAAGTGCTTTTGTTCTGCACGTGAAGTTACTCTTTCGTGTTGTATAGAAGTAATGTGCTTTGCAATATAATTAACCATGATGACTGGATAAGAAGTAACCTGCCTCAGGAGGGAAACAACTTATGTGTGTGTCTTAGCGACTTCAAGTATTTGGCATTGATTTTATTCTGATCTAAATTTGCCTTATTAGTATCTTCAAAGCAAGCGTGTGGACAAGGCCAAAAGGGCTATTAGGCCTTGAGATCATATTTGCAATATGATCAAATTGAACAGATTGCTGCATTCATATTAACTAGAAATTTATTACGTCAAAAACTATGGTTTGATCAAGACCTAGGGTCGTCTAATAAATTTTGAAGGCCCTGTTACATATACTAAATTGAGGCCCCATGTTATACAACATCCAAGCCTTAATCCCAAAAGAATTTGGGGTCGGCTAACATGAATCGATCTATGATATCGATGCCAAAAAGAGAAGGCGGACAAGAAAAGGAAAAAAAAAGTAAGATAAAATGAATAAAATAAAGATACATAAATATAAGATAACAATAACACAAGAATATAACCAAGATAAAAGAAAAATAAATAAAAGAGCATAAAAAAGCTAGAAGATAAAAATAACATAAGAATATAAAAATAACATGAGGCCCCATGTTATAACTGGAAATAAAAATTAGGTAATGAAATATTGACATATATCATCCTCATCCTCATCACCCTAGTACCGCAAAGGCTCCCACCTACGGTGGGGTAGGGGGGGTCGGATGTATGTAGCCTTACCACTGTACTTAGTACAAAGAGGCTGTTTACGGATGACCCATAGTGAAAATTGCGTAAAACATTGCATAGATTGACTGTTGTTTCATAACAAAGAAGTGCTGACAGTTTAGCGAGCCATTTTCATATATATGACTAAAATAAAGACTGTTTACAAAAATATGACCTCCTAAGTGTAGTGACTATATCACTAATTTACTCAAGTAACTTGTGTTCATTTTTTACACTTAAGTGACTATGAGACTTATAGAGAGCGGGAAGAGCATGGGGCAGGATCGGGCTTGGGCCCCACTTCTGTGGGCCAGGTTAGGGTTGTCATTAGAGTTTATTTATTATTATTAAGTTAATGTTATGTTTTACTTTGGGCCTATTATTAGTAGAGTACTTAGTAGAGTTATTATGGGCTTAATTAGCCTTTAATTAATTTGGGCTTGATTAGGGTTTCTCTTAGAAGGCTATTTATACCCCTTGCCAGGGTTCATTCTATCTTATCTTGGAATAAAGTTGGATTTTAGCCTTTTGGATCTGGGCAACGGTATTTTTATCGTTGATTATCTGGGCAACGGTTTACCCCGTTAATTTTATTTTTCTGCTACACAACAATTGGTCCGACCTGCCGGATCCCGTCCCGCGAGGATGATGAGATCTCAGATCGACCGCTGGACAGAGATGGTTGCCAAGCAATCTCGGATGAATCAAACCCTAGAGGAGCACGACATGCTTCTGGCAGAGATTGCCGCATCCCTGGCAACGCTTACCAAGGCGCTAATTCCTCCGGTCATGACGGAAACAAGCCTGGACGCAGTTGGCAGCCCCACCGTATCTGCGCACAGCAGCGACAGACAGCCGTGCAGCGTCACTTCCTCCTTGGCTGCGTTTACAGAGGCTCTCGCGCCGTCAGCAGTGGAGGAGCATTCAACGGCGGTGGCTTCACTTGATGCGGCAGCAGCATCCTCGTTAGGAATTGGACTGTGCAGCACCTTTCTCATGATGTTGCCCTCGTTTAACGGAGAAGAACTGATCAGCTGGGTTGATAGGGCTGAGCAACATTTCGAATTGAACTGTACTCTGCCGGCAAAGAAGGTGGCAGCCGTTGTAGTTGCGATGGAAGGGCCAACCTTATATTGGTTGACCTGGTTACGGGCACGAAAGCCGGTCATGTCATGGGATGAGCTTACACAGGCATTGGTGGCTCGTTTTGACTCACGGTTTAAGGGCAATCGCTTTAAACGGCTGCCCGGAGGCAAGCAGGCATGGACTGGGGAGGAGTACATCTCAATTTTTCCTAAAGATATTGGCCAGCCCCCGGGGACAAATGTGAGCCGGTTTCCGGATTTCAACCTTGAGGACAAGGTTATTTTGAAGGAGGATGGATTAATAGAGAGCGGGAAGAGCATGGGGCGGGACCGGGCTTGGGCCCACTTCCGTGGGCCGGGTTAGGGCTGTCATTAGAGTTTATATATTATTATTAAGTTAATGCTATGTTTTACTTTGGGCCTATTATTAGTAGAGTACTTAGTAGAGTTATTATGGGCTTAATTAGGATTTAATTAATTTGGGCTTGATTAGGATTTGTCTTAGAAGGCTATTTATACCCCTTGCCAGGGTTCATTCTATCTTATCTTGGAATAAAGTTGGATTTTAGTCTTTTGGCTCTGGGCAACAGTATTTTTATTGTTGATCATCTGGGCAACAGTTTACCCCGTTGATTTTATTTTTCTGCTACACAACAAGTTCATTTTTCTGAGACTATACTATAGTAACTATTAGTCATATTTTGTAAATAAGTATCATTTTAGTAATATTCTTGAAAAACACCACTTAACTAATTTTTAATAAAGAAATGCAAAAGTAGTGTGCCAAATACTGAAGTTCAGCAAAATGTGGGGCTGTCCTTGCTCTAAAATGCAGTAAAAGGAGGAGAGGAAGGGGCGGTTCCTGCCGCTTTGATTCCCACTCACGAATAGCTAGGAGACCAGGACAGAATCAGCTTTCGACCTTATTTTTTATTTATTAATACTCCATATACACCCATGACTATGTATTATACTAGGTGCTGTACTACACGTTTTTAAAAATGGGAGCCCCATACATGCTGGGGCCCTGTTATAAAGAACCGAATGAACCGGTCAAACGCCGGACCTGTTAAGACCAATTATTATTTGGGATAGATGATGATTACTCAGCCCCATATAAGTTCAATTATATAAATTTTGCAAAAATAATTCCCAAAAGATTTCGGGGTCAGCTAACATGAACCGGTCCATGATATTGGAGCCAAATAAAAAAGAAAGATAAGAAAAATAAAAAGGAGACCAGGGCAGAATCAGCTTTCGACCTTATTTTTTATTTATTAATACTCCATATACACCCATGACTATGTATTATACTAGGTGCTGTACTACACGTTTTTAAAAATGGGAGCCCCATACATGCTGGGGCCCTGTTATAAAGAACCGAATGAACCGGTCAAACGCTGGACCTGTTAAGACCAATTATTATTTGGGATAGATGATGATTACTCAGCCCCATATAAGTTCAATTATATAAAATTTTGCAAAAATAATTCCCAAAAGATTTCGGGGTCAGCTAACATGAACCGGTCCATGATATTGGAGCCAAATAAAAAAGAAAGATCAGAAAAATAAAAAGATAAGGTAAGATAAAAAAGATAGGATAAGATAAAGATAAATATAAGATAAAAGAACATAAGAGAAAGATAAAAGATAAAAGTAACATTAGAACATAAGAAAGATAAAAAAGATAAAAAGAAAAAAGAAAAAGAGAGAGAGAAAAGAGATCAATCTTCCACACGAATATTCGCCCAAAAAACAATAATAATACCTAGCATATATGATAAAACATTTGAAGAAGATTCTATCATTTAATCAATCCTATTAACTTATATGCTAAATTAATTATCATTTGGTTCAAGATTGACATTATCTGCATTTATTTCCATGCCCAAAGAAACATATTGATCGAAAGTTTATTATTTTAAAAACTATTTAAACATGTTTTTTACTAGATTGAACTCCTTAAGTTCTGTTTTAATCTCTTAGTGTCCCAATTTATACGTTCAATCTTTCATATTTAACTTTGGCCAAGTTCCTCACCTATAATCAGGCTCAAAGAATCGCTGAAATCACCGTGTATTAGCCAAGTTATTTTTTTACTGGGCAGGTAGTCAACCCTGCAAAGTCTAGGGCTGACTAGCTAGTACTTTGGAGTAGTAATGAATTAAATTGCATTATTTAGAAATTGGAATTCTTCTTATTGTTTGAAGTACAAAATGTGAAGGCATTGAAATCGCATTGGACTGTAACAATACCAGAGTCTTCCTCCCAAATTTGTATGATTGATATGGTATTTAGGATGAGTTTATACATACCTTATTTATCATATTTTAAACTGGTCAATTCTAATGGTTCCGAGCTGAGGAGATTTTTAAATCCTCATTTTATATTTTCAAAGTCTGATTTTTTAATTCTTACTAATAGTAAATTAAATATATTAGTGGTCGGAGTTGTGTGAAGGGGAGTCTTGGCTCATCGGTAACGGTGTTGCCTCTTGTCAAAATGACAAGGGAAAGCTTGCACCCTATACACCCTTGTGGTGGGATCCTTCCTTGGACCCTCGCCTTGCGGGGATGCCAATGTGAACCGGGCTCCCCTTCTAGTGGTCAAAGTTGTGCGTTGGAAAATGTGAAATTGAAGTGTTGCAGACTTGCAACTAAAAAAGAACGGATGAAGTATATTGTTTCTAGAGAGAGAGATTTCTAAAAAATGAGTGACCCCCCCCCCCCCCCCCCCCCCCCCAATGCACCACATCACCAGGGGGCCATGTATAAGAATACATGAGCAGAGCCCAGTGAGCCTAACATCATCACTGGCCTATGGCAGGACCGCAATCCTGCACTTCTTGAAGAACCTATTGCGGAGTGCGCCATGAATCCTTTGACTCTGACTATATTTACCATACTTCCTTTAGTTGAGACCAACAGCGAATTTCCGGGGACCCAACCCATGTTTACAGCATACCATCAGTTTTGATGTGAAATCACTTGATTGATCACTCGAGTGATCATTTGAGATATAGTTACTAAGCTGGTCAAAATGTAGTTTATTTATGATTGGAGTTCAAAACAATGGTAGTGTTACTTCCCTAGTTTGATAAAGTCACAGTGATTCGTTTGCTAGCAGTACTTTAGAAGCTTCCAAAGATTTGTATGGATGTCTTGCAAAGTTGCAATCAACTTTAGATATAGAGTAATCATTTTAGATGTGCAGAGTAGGAATGACACAATGTTTATGGTTGACTATAGGTGTTGTAATTTTCATAATCAATTCTTCCTTAACTGTCATGTGAAAACCAACCAAGCACTTCAGTTTTACACTTTTACATTCTACTATGTGAAATTCCACAGCTTTTATCACCAAGCCTGCAATACAATCTCCATCCTTTTCACAAGACTTTATTGCTAAGCGTTCTTGCTAGTTCTAGCTGTGAACCTTTACATGAGTTTTGATCAACGTTTTGACCCAACATCGTACTCATTCTTCACAAGCTTGCCGGCCCTGCCCCAGCTTTTACGGAACACCAATTCTTGAGAAACTACACTAGAAGTTTAGAACTTCTATTGAACCACAAAACTGAATCTACAACAACAACAACATCCAAGCCTTATTCCCAAAAAATTTTGGGGTCGGCTAACATGAATCGATCAATGATATCAAAGCAAAAAAGAGAGGAAGGATAGGAAAAATAAAAATATAAGGTAAGATAGAATGGATAAGACAAAACTGAATCTAAGATTAAAAAATAATATTATAAAATTAGAGATGAGAAGGGACTTAAGCTGACCGTGTGAATAGTAAAATGAGAACCATATTCCAAGACGAAGGGACCGAGGGAGTGCCAATATATAATATTAGGAAGATTCTTAAGCTGATTTTGTTCCCTGAGCACATGTTAACGAGTCAATCTCTTTAACTTGTATCCTTCTCTTCTAGGGCTCATCTCGTGATGAGTACTAGAGTCCTAAATTCCTAATATCTTCATCATCATCATTTATCAAATATGGATAACATTTATCCTAACAGATTCTATTGTTGAAATTAATGTTTGTTTGGTTTGGGGTGATGTATGTGCTTGACATGTGCATGTTGGATCCATATTTCTTCTTCATTCTTCATCATTACCCCACTGCCGCAAAGGCAACCACCTACTGTGGGTAAGGGGAGATCGGATGTACGCAGCCTTACACCTGTACTAAAGTGCAGAGAGACTGTTTCTCGATGGCCCATAGTGAAAATCGCGTCGAAAATTGCATAGACTGACTGCTGCTTGATAACAAAGAAGCACTGATAGTTTATTGAGCCATTTTGCTTTATTCCATCATATCCTCAAGCCAAAACATAGCGAGTCTTTGGCTACATTGCAAATGGTGGATCCGTATTTCATTAGAAACAATTATGCATTGTTTTGTTACACACATACAGTTCTCTGGACTATGTCACATGCCTTTTTTCCAAATTTGCAGCACATTCATGGGTCCGAGAAGGTGGTAATGCATCTGACATACCTTTAGACATCTCTGTTCTGTCCAATATGCGACAGTTTGTTAAATATGGCCGTCTGAAACAATTAGCCTTACGGGTAATCAAGTATTCTTCATTTAATTGAAATAAAGTGAAATGACCATTCTGTGCATGTCAGTTTTTGTGTGTGACTAATGTGTCATCATCTTGCAGGCATTGGCAACTACACTTGACGAGGAGGAGGTGGCTAATCTCAAAGATCAATTTGCTGCCATTGATGTAGATAAAAATGGTGTCATTAGTCTTGAAGAAATGAGACAGGTAAGCTTTCTTCATGCAATACTAAGGCTAGATTTGTTCTACATATTTTGTAGACAATTTGTTTTATTTCTTTTTTTTATATGATATTCTGAGAGATCGTATTTGGAGGTCTGATACAGGCTCTTGCTAAGGATCTTCCATGGAAAATGAAAGATTCACGTGTGATGGAGATTCTTCAAGCGGTATGTTAATTTGTGTTTTAGGATGGATTATCAGAGTTGGCATGTCCTTTATTTTGGCTTTGCGCCCACCTCTTCATTGTGGGATTTGTGGCATCATAATGTCCTTGCTGTTGACAGCTTCATTTTCATCCACTTCATGTTTGGTCTTCTTTATTCGACTCAACTTCTCATGTGTTATAGTAAGGCAGACTTAAATTTGGACATTCTAGGGAGACATTCCTATGTAGCACAGGTTCATTGGGTGATGATCATGTGTCTAAAATTTTCACCACCAATAGTGAATGTGTGTCACCCAAAAATGTCTCCCCTAGAATGTCCAAATCTGATGTTCCCTTTGCATTACTCTTTATATATAATATATTCCTGCTGATCAGTAGCAAGGTGTCTGATTTGTAGATTGACATCAATACTGATGGGCTCGTAGATTTCCCAGAGTTTGTTGCTGCCACTTTACATGTTCATCAGATGGAGGAGCACAACTCAGAAAAATGGCAGCAAAGATCCCAAGCTGCTTTTGAAAAATTTGATGTTGATCGAGATGGCTTCATTACCCCGGAAGAACTCAAAATGGTTGGTGTTTAATTCATTTTTCCCAGGATTGACTTATACTAAAAATATGCTTGCTGTTTGTCTACCTTGAAAGATTAATACAACCAGCCCACCCCTCCCCCACAAAAAGGAGAAAAACATCAGACGACTAGAACTGGAAGTAGAAATTTTCAAGGATTCTTCATTGTTTTTGGCCAAAGAGTTGGGTTAGAGTCCCACATCGGGCAAGTTAAGACCTTGTGTTGAACTAGCTAGTCGATTGGATTCAATCTTTTTGCGTGGTTAGACCCAAATTTCTTATAGCCCAGTTGAATGACTCCAACCCAGTCCTAAATTCTATAGTCTAAAACAATGCAGTTTTTAATATTCATAAACCATTATCTATGATAAATAAATAACAATTGTACCTTTGAGGTCCACGTCGTTCAAGCATATGCATTTGCTTTATAAATGTGTATATGAAAAGAGAATATATACATGAGATGCTTTTTGGGAAATGCTGTTTAGTAATCTATTTGCAATATGCTAATATCTTGCAGTACACGGGGTTGAAAGGTTCCATAGACCCTATTCTAGAGGAGGCAGACATCGACAAGGATGGGAAAATAAGTTTACCTGAATTCCGTAGGCTTTTAAGAACTGCAAGTATGAGCTCCCATACAATTTGTTGCCCCTCCTCTGCCAAATCAGGAGGAAGAGGCTCAAGATGAGTCTCGAAGTGAAAAAGTTCGATGTGGGATAATGTTGTTGCTGGCACCGGGGGGACGCGCCTCATGTTTTTACATACCAGGAGGACATTTTTGTGATCTGGTCATTGTTGTCTACCTATTTTTTAGCACTATGCAGTCTTCCTATTAAAAGTGAAATATGGGATTGTGCAGTGAATGAGTAAAAGTTCTGTCTCGCCTGTGTGTCTAAGGTAAGGGTACAAGTGATCTTAGTTGCTGGGTAATTATTCGCACTGTTTTTCCACGTGTAAACCACCACATTTACCATGTTGGACATAACAACGTTTGAGATTACCTTGGTGGGTGTCATGTTCCATCTTGTAAAATTCCAAAATAAATAAGAATAAGCTTTTCCTCTCATCTGATGTACAGATGTACTCGTATTATCTTTTTCCTTGCCATCGTGTGATACCTAATGCCTGAAACCTGTTAATATTCTACAATTTATCATTGAAAAAATGGTCAAATTGGTTCATCAACGGATCAACCTGTTAATACTAAAAAGTACATCAACTTGTGATTAGGGATGGATTCGGTTCGGGCCACCCGGCCCGTGACCCGGCCCGGCCCGGTACTGTGCGGGCCCGGGACCGGCCCGGTCGGGCGGTCCGGGACCGGGTATGGACCCGAACCGATGGGAAGGGGCGGGGGCGGGCTCGGTTCTGGATTTTTGTGATCCGGCCCGGCCGGGTCGGGCCCGGGTCCGGGTCTATTTAAAAAAAAAACTTTTTTTTGTTTGGTTTGGCTACTAGCCGTTGGGGCCTTGGGGGTGGGGCTGGGGACAACCCAAACGGCTATATAGCCGTTGGGTGGGGTAAAGGGGGGGTCCGGGGGGTGTGCTGGTGGGGGTGGGGGGTGGGGGGGGGTGGGGGGTAAAAAAACCTATAAATACTCCTAATCTTAAACATTTTTTCATCTCTTCTCCAATTCTTCCTAAATCCTATTCTTAACTCTCTACTCTCTAATTCTCTTATTCTCCAATATATTATATTTATTATTTATATATCTACTTTATAGTTTATACTTAAGAAGTTAAGATGGAAAATCAAGATGCCATTATACAGTATAATTTTGATAAGCAGAAGGACCCGAAGACCGGGATGTGGTACGCAATTTGCAAATGATGCGAGAAAAAATGTAACATGGGGGCTTCAGGCGGATTCGGGATGGCAATCAAGCATATGAAGTCATGTGACAAAGCCAAAGGATCGGGAGGTGCGGGAAGTTCCGATTGATTACAATTTTCAAAATGTTTATCTCTTAAAGTTTGTTTTAATTTTCAAATGTAGTTCCTATTTCATTTCAAATAAATGCAATTGAAGTTTGTTTTTAATACTCGTATAAAACTATAAACTATAAAATATAAATTATATAAAAAAAAATTAACCGGCCCGGCCCGAACCGGACCCGACCCGTGACCCGGGCGGGTGGCCCGGCCCGAACCGGACCCGTCCAACCCTCGGGCCGGTCCCGGGCCCACTATTCTTGAATCGGCGGCCCGACCCGGCCCGAATCCATCCCTACTTGTGATAGATCACTGATATTAATATTTCAGAATTCTACACACAATCGAAGAACATACACAAATCACATTTTATTCAACAAGCAAGAGTACACAAGCCATTGACAATTCGAGATGCTCAATCTCTTAGCCCAGTCCTAGCCAAATAACAGCCTGCCTCTGCTAGCTTATTCACCTTCTATTTATAGTAAAAGTCCACGCAGGGACACTCGACTAACTAACTAACAGACTCATTAGTTATTCATTATTATTAACTACCCTATTCCTCCTCTTATAGACTTTGTTGTAGGGATGGACTAAACCGGCCCGGCCCGGAACCAGCCCGGCCCAGCCCGGGTAACTTATGGGCGGTTCGGGCTTTGACCCGGCCCGGGGGGTAGGGCGGTTCGGGCATGGTTCAGGAAAATGACGGCCCGGCCCGGCCGGTTCGGGCCCGGTCTGGGCCTAACGGCTATATTTTAATTTTTTTTCTTTGGCCAGCCAAACAGGCCTTATAGCCGTTGTATTTCAATCCAAACGGCTCTATAGCCGTTGGGAGCCTGTCAGGGGGTCCCGGGGTGTGCGGTGGGGTACAAAAAATCTATAAATACTCCATTTTTCTATACAATTTACTACACGTCTTCTCCAAATATTCCTACTCTCTAATCTCTATTCTCTACTAATCTTCTCCATCTTCATCTTCTCAAATTTATAACTACATACTACATCTTCATCCTCAAATTTATTTACTTATATTTACATTTTACATATACTTAATATATACTTATATATATTAAAGTATTATATATAAGTGTATTACTAATCTTATAGTAATAAACTTATATTATATATATATATATATATATATATATATATATATATATACTATAAACATAATATTATATAGTACTAGTTAATCTACTTATTATCTACTTATAAATATATATATTAAGTATATCTACTTATACACTTATTATCTACTTATCCAATTGCTTATACACTCTCACACTCCCTTTAATTTAGTTTACACACTCATACATTCTTTATTAATATAAAACTAGTTAATTGTTTCACTTATCATTTTAGTATTAGTTCATTGCTATAAAAGTAGTTAATTGTTAGTTGTTAGTTTATTGGAAATAGTTACATTAAAAATTGTTAGACAATAATTCGAAACTAATTGTTTAATTGTTACATTTCTTATTCTCCTATAAAAGTATAAAACTAGTTAATTGTTACATTTCTTAATCTCCTATAAAACTAGTTAATTGTTACATTTCTTAATCTCCTATAAAATTAGTTAATTGTTACATTTCTTATTCTCCTATAAAACCAGTTAATGGTTACATTTATTATTCTCCTATAAAACTAGTTAATTGTTACATTTCTTATTCTCCTATAAAACTAGTTAATTGTTAATTATATTAAAGTTGTTTGAATTTTATAATAAAAGTAGTTAAACTTGTTAAATTTTTATTTATTTATTATTTGTTAACAAATAGTTCGAATTTTATTGCATTGTTACATCTTCTCATTTTTAATTGTAGTTTAAAATTGTAGTTGCATAGTTCGAATTTAATTGTTACATTCTTATTAATTTTATTACATTAACGAGATTGAGCGCAAACTCTCTTGAGACGCTTGTTTGCTTCCATGATTGGTTGAAGGCCAAACGTAGAACTCAAGAAATTAGCATTGAACCCACCCGCCACTTTATGGAAGAAACAACCGAAGATGGCGGAAATTCCGATTGATTCTTATTTATTATAAAGTGTATTTCATGTTTTAAATTTTTTCTCAATTTTCAATTGTACTACATATTTCAAATAAATATATTTTAACTTTTTTATGTCCAAGTAATCTTAATTTAATATTTAAACAAAAAAATTAAATAGCCCGGCCCCGGCCCGAACCGGCCCACTACCCGGCCGGGTAGGCCCGACCCGGACCGGACCCGGTATCACCCCGGGCCGGTTCCGGGCCCATGTTTCTAAAAAAAAGCCCGCCCGACCCTGGCCCGGGTCCAACCCTACTTTGTTGTAAAATTGAACCGCTTGCTTTGCTCCTTGTCTATCAATACTCCCTCCCTCCCTCCCTGAAAATTCACCTTGTCCTCAAGGTGAAGCTCTGGAAATTGTTCTTTGAGCATTAACAAAGGTTCCCAGGAGTCCTCAAAGCTTGTCAGATTGCTCTAGTGTACCAACACTTCCACATTCCCTTCTTTGTCAACCCTTGTATCCAAAATATCTTCTGGCACCACCTGTAATTCCAACTCATCACTGAGACAATTGGGTAGAGGCTCGGTAGAAGGTAGTAGGGGAAATAGCCTTTTTGAGCAATGATATATGGAAAACTGGATGGATTTTATTGTCATCTGGTAATTTGAGATTGAAAGCTACTAAACTCAGTTTGTCAATTATCTCAAAGGGGCCATAATATCTGGGACTGGGCTTTTGATTTATGCTTTTAGCTAAACTTCTTAGCTTGTAAGGTTGTATCTTCAAGTAAACCTTCTCTCCCACCTCCAGCTGAACCTCTCTCCTTTGCTTATTGGCTTGTTGTCTCATCTGATTCTGGGCCCTAGCCAAATTCTCTTTTAACTCATCCAAGATGATATTTCTCTGGGTAGTCAACTTGGAGACTTCTTCTACATCAGTTAGAGTTACATCCCCTCTAATTACTGCAGGTGGGTCTTGTCCAAATAGAGCTTTGTAAGGAGTAATTTTCAGAGCAGCATGATAATTGGTATTATACCGATACTCAGCCCAATGTAGACATTGAAACCATTTCTTAGGTTTTCTTCGAGTGAGACATCGCAGATAGGTCTCAAGGCATGTGTTAACCACCTCAGTCTGGCCATCAGTCTGAGGGTTGTAAGCAGTACTGTACTTCAACTGAGTCCCAGCAGACTTAAAGAGCTCTGACCAAAAGGCCCTAAAGAATACACTGTCTCTGTCACTAACTATGGTTTTAGGAAAACCATGTAATCTGACCACCTCCTTGATGAATACATCTGCCACCTCCTTAGCATTGTAAGGATGTGATAAAGCCACAAAATGAGCATACTTGGTCAACCTGTCCACAATGACCAAAATAGTATCCTTCCCTTTTGATTTAGGCAGTCCACCAATAAAATTTATACTAATGTCAGTCCAAATGCTATTAGGAATTGGTAGGGGCTGTAACAACCCTGCAGGTTTGAGAGCCTGATACTTATTTGTCTAACAAATCTCACATTCTTCCACAAACTTCTTAATATCCTTCCTCATTGCCTGCCAAAAGAAAAGATTAGAAACCCTTTTCATGGTTCTAATATACCCAGAATGTCCCCCAACTGCAGATTCATGATACTCCTTCAATATTTTGGTTATTCTGGGGGATCCTTGTGGTAAGACCAGCCTGTTGTTGTAATAAAGTAATCCTTTTCTCATCTGAAATTCAGTGTGCAGATCTGGATGTGAAATCACCTTCTGAATCAATTCTGTACACTTAGGATCTGATTCCAGTTCTTCTTCCAATCCTTCCCATTCCTGGCATGTCACAATAGAGAGTGAGTGTAGTATAGGTCTCCTGGACAACGCATCAGCAGCTCTGTTCTCAATTCCAGGTCTATATTTTATAATGAAATTATATGCCAATAACTTTGAAGTACATTTTTGCTGCTCTTCCCCCATTAATCTTTGCTCAATTAGGAATTTTAAGCTTTTCTGATCAGTCAGGATCTCAAATGTTCTGCCCAACAAATAGGGCCTCCATTTTTGCACTGCCAGTACAATGGCCAGAAGCTCCCTTTCATAAACATATCTGTTTTGGTTTCTCTTTGATAAAGCTTTGCTCATAAAGGCTATTGGCTTTCCCTCTTGCATTAGGACTGCTCCCAACCCAGTTCCAGA